GCCGCACCTTGGGCCGCAGCTTCAGCTTGTAGATGGAGGGCACGCGGGCCGGCTTGCGCAGGCAGCGCCGCGGCTTCGGGGGGCTGCCGGGGGCCCCCGCGGGCTCCGTGTCCCCACGGTGCGCGGGCGGCGCGGCCGAGCTGCGCCCTGCGCTGCCCGGGGCTCCTGCCGTGCCGCCCGGAGCGGTTCGCGGGGCGCTCGGGGCCGCCCCGCTGCCCAGCTCCACGGGGCGCAGCGGCTGCCGGCCCCGTGCCAGCTCCGCCACGACGCTGCTGTAGCCGCGAGGCCCCCGGGCTGCCGCGCTGCCGCCTCGGGTGTCGCTCCGGCTGCTCCCCAAGGAGTTCGGCGGCTGGGCAGCACCCTCTGCGCTCCCCTCCACACCGGGGTTTCCCTTTGGAGGTTTTTGTTCCCGATTCCCTTTCAGACGGGCGTTCTCCTGAAGTGCCCGGAGGTTGGAGCGGATCTCGCGCTCCAGGCTGCGGAGCAGCGCCCGTTCCCGCGCCGGTTCCACTGGGCACCCCGGTGTGCCCTGGGGTCTACCGGCCGGGCAGCCTCGCGGAGCACCCCGGGCTCCCACCACCGCACAGCATCCAGGCAGCAAATGGGCCGGGGGGGGCGGGGGGCGCCCGGGGGCTTTGCCAGGGGCCCTGGTGCTGCTCTCGGGTCGGCTCGTGTGGCTGGGGGGCTGCAGGGGTGACGCTGGCCGCCCCCGTCCCGGGGCTCCCGGGCTCCCTCGCAGGAGGTTTTCCCGGCTGGGGGCTGGGCTGCGGGTGTCCTGCCATGGGGATGGGGGCCGCGCTGCGCTGGGGCTGGGGGCTCTGCTGGCAGCCCCCGTGGGGGGCTTGCACCCCCCTTCCCAAGGCCGGGTGCTTTTTGCCATGGGGTTCCTCAGGTTCCCCTCTGCCCGCTTCCCGCTTGGCACATCCAGACCCCCAGCACCATCGTCCCTGCTGGGGACCAGCCGGGATGGCGTGGGCGCTCGCTGCATCTCCTGCGTCCTGCAAGGAGGCCAAAAGGGGATGAAAGACCGCGAGGATGCGCCTGGCGCTGCCCGCCCTGCCCGGAGCACCTACCTGCCCGGGAGGGCCCTGCGGGGCTCCGACGGCTCCCGGTGAGCGCTGGGCACCGGCGTCCTGCCCGCACGCTCGGGAGAGGGGGACGAGCGGGGCCGGTGGCCGGCGGCCCGGCCGGGGGGCACGTAGGTGCCCCACGCCACGGGGGGCAGCGGGCTCTGCGCCCGGCTCACCAGCAAGGCGGGCTGGGCCCGGCCGGGCCCCGGCGCCGGCGGGCAGAGCAGGACCTCGTGCTGCACTTGCGGCTGGGCACTGCCAGCCCTCGAGGCCTGTTTGTGAGCTGAGGGGACGGGGGGCTCAGTGCCCGCACGGAGCATCCGGCATCTCCAGAGCCCTCCCCTGCGGCAGCTTCCCAGCCCATCCACGGATAAGCCCAAGGCTGCATGTGTGGGAGGAACCCCGTGCGTCCCCGGCACCGCGACCGCCCGCAGCCCCCGCCGTGTCCCCGCTTTGGGCCATGCAAGAGGGGCCACCGGCCGTGCCCATCCGGCCGCCCCTTCCCCGAGGCTGCCGGGACCTCTAGTGGCCGCGGGGGCTCTGGGGGCACTCACAGAGCGAGGTGCAGCGGCACGGGTCGTGCTTGTCCAGGTAGTGCTCCAGCGTGTCCCAGCCGCCGCCGACGCGCACCATGACGTGGCTGCGCAGGATCTGCGAGGAGCCGTGAGGCGCCCACAGAGCGGGCACCCTGCCAGGCCCCACAGCGGGACGGGGCTCCCGCCGCCCGCTCAGCCCCGGCTCTGCCCTGCCCGGCGGGCAGGGATCGGCTGGTGCCTGTGGGTGCCTGTGTGCACGCAAAGGGGCCGGCAGGCACGAGGGAAATGGGGCTCACCCGGACGAAGATGAGCGTGCTGGAGTCCCCCACGCGGTATTTCCCCTCTGACATCTTGATCATGGGGAACTGCACGGGGCAGGTGCAGCGGCTCACCAGGCGCTGGACCTGCGGGCGCCGCAACACGTCCTCGCAGGGCTCCCCGCGGCCCCCACGGCTCCCTGGCTGCCCAGCACCTTCCTACCATCTGGTCCAGGTTCTGGAAGGCCTGGGGTCTCCGCGGGGGCCGGAGCAGCGGGGCCTCCCCCGGCGGCAGGTCCAGCTCCCGGCGCAGCTCCTCCTCGATCTCCTCCTCCATCTGTACGAGGGTCGGGGCGCTCATGCCGAAGCGGGACGCCCGCCGCGCCACCTCCAGCAGGCACAGCACAAAGTTCTTCTCGTTCTTCCTCAGCACCAGGTCCTCCGTCTCGAACATCAGGACCTCTGGGCAGGGAAGGAGGGAAGGGCAGCAAAGTTGATGCTTCACGGCACCCCCAATTCCTGCAATTCCATGGGTGGCCTGGGGACAAATCCCATCGTGCCCAGCCCATAGCAGCGACCATAGTCCTCCCGGGATGACCACACGTGGTGAGGGAGCAGGTCCTTTCTTGGTGCACGATGATGCCCCGCTGGCCTTAAGCCCTGGCAGTGGCATACGAGCACATGCCCTTTGCATTTCCCCTTCCACAGCACATTTTTGCACCCGAGCAAACACAATTGCTGCCAGGTGGCTGGTGCGCACAGCGGCGGGGAATAAAACGGGGAATAAAAAGAAAAAACACTTGGATAAGGCCCAGATTAGGCAGAGAGGAATTGCACACCGGACATGGGGACGAGCGGGAGCCTGGCTCTCACCTTTAATCCCCATCTCCTTCCGGCACCAACGGATGAAGTTGGAGACGTTGTCCCTGGCCTGGAAGGTGCCCGGCTGGGCGGCGGGGTTGCAGGTGACGCCGGCGGCGGGCAGGCGGAGGCAGCGGGCGCGCTCGGGGCGGGCGCGCGCCAGCTCGGCGGCCGCGCGCGTCACGTTGTTGGCGTGGGCGCAGAGCGCGGCGCCCGTCTCCAGCGCCGTCGCGAAGGTGCCCGCCTCGATGTCCAGCCCGTAGAGCTCCTTGAGCCACTCGGCCAGGTCCTCCTTCATGGCGTACAGGTACTGCTCGCTCGACTTGTAGGGGCGGATGCTCTGCTCCGCAGCGCCCGGGATCCCTGACATTTTCCCATAGGAGCCCGGACTTGGAAAGGACATAGAGGAGCTGGAGAGCTGGCACGTGGGCCCTCGCCCAGCCACCCCGCGATGCCGCCTTACCTGGTGCTGCCGCTGCCAAGCCCTTGTCCTTAAGCACAGTGACCTCCGCTAGGAGCAGCCCGGCACTCTGTCTGGATCCTGTGTGGGGACACGGTGTCCCCGAGCCCGGCACCCGCTCCTGTCCCCAGGCCCCATTCCCGCGGTGCCGGGGCCGGAGCAGCCAACCTGCTGGGAAGCAGGGGCAGCCCTTTGGCTTTTCCCAAGGGTTCAAGCTGAGCCGGAGGCAGCAGCTGGGAGAGGAAATGGCCCTCCTGGGCAGTGGGTGTTTTGTTTCCTTCCAAAGAGCTGCTCCCTTCTCCTTGGTGACAAGGGACTGGCTCCAAACACTTCTCTTTAACCCTTCAGCACCGGCTCCTCCTGCGTCTTCCTCCACTGCCTGCTCACGGGGCCGGATCCTCCTCCGAGTCCCTCTGCCGAAGCGGATCCTGGAGGGCACAGCCGCACCACAGGGCTGGAATGGGGTTTCTTGGGGTGCCCGGGCAGCACCGGGGCCCCCCAGCACCCTGTCAGGTCCAGGCGCTCAGTGGCTCCCGCTTGGATCTGCCAGTGCTGTTTTGGGGGAGGACATGCGGGAATGCCAGCTATTCCCACCCGGCTAGGAATGCATGGCAGCCCTGGAGGAATTGCGCCTGGAGGCAGCCCAGGAGGACACAAAGACCCTTGTGCAGCTCCCTCTGCAGCCGGGCCACCCGGCAGGGCGCCCACCCAGCTCCTGGGTGCAAGTCTTCCATCCCAGGGGAAAGAAAGAAACGAACATTTCCCAGGGCACGGAGAAAACCTTGCTACGGATGGAGCAGGGAAGAGAGGCTCCATGCTTTCCTCACCATGGCCCTTAGACAGCTATTTTTAAAGCATCATTTTCCCCTTCCATTCAATCTGGAAAACAGCCTGTTCTGCAAGAAAGGTTGGGCTAACTCAGCAGGGTCCATTCTTGCCCCATATGCACCCATGAGCATCTTGCACACAGCCCTCCAAGAGACATGAAACTGGCCTAAAAGCAAAAAAAAAAAAAAAAAAAAAAAAAGCTAACAGAATTCTCAACACTGAATACACAAAGGACTTTTTATTTTATTTGTCATCAGGTCTCCAGACCTTTGGGGTTCATCATGGCCCATGGTGTGTTAGAACCACTCCTTGCAAAGCAAATCCAAGCGTCCCCAGCTCTTTGGCAGCACTGAACATCCCCTGAGCTTTTAAGGCGGGAGCAGCCACGCACCCCGTGTCTGTGCAGGACAGTCCGGCCACAGCCGTCCCAGAGAGCACAGAGCACCACTGGGATCCAGCCTCTGTCCTGTCCGAGAACCAGTTTGGGCTGTTGTCTTGTAGCACCGAAGCCCTGGTGACGGGCATGGCCCTGCCAGGGGCCAGGAAAGCTGCTCCCATTGGAAAGGGAGGGATGGTCTAGAGCTCAGCCAGGGCGGGACGGGGCTCTTCTCTCACCTCGAGCTCAGCTGCTCCCAAAATGAGGCCCAGGGCCAGCTGTGCCCATCACTGTCCCCTCCGGTGTCCCCCTTCTGGCGCCTCTGCCCTCCCCTTTGGCACACGACTTCCAGACGTGTGCCAAATCAAGGCAAGTTTTGTTCCATCCAAGTTTTGTTCCAGCCGTCCTGGACTGCCCTATTTGCTCCCTAGGGCCCAAGACCTGTCCATCTGTCCTGGTCACTCCCTCCTCCTCCTTTAAATCAGACTCAGACTGCAGCAGAGGGGCACAGGGTTCACACATGTTTTGACCCGTTTAGTTTCTTGCAGGGAGACAGCTGGAGTGAGGACAGGCACTTTGGGTACGAGAAAGGCTGTGGTGGGAGCACAGTCCTTATGAGACAGCAGAGAATCCCCAAGCTCATAAGAAAACCAAGTGTTGGCGAGCAGGCCGCCCTCGAGCACCAGCAGCAGGGTCTCCAGCCCCCCTCCAAAGCTGCTTCCCCCCCAAACCCTGCAGTCCTGTCCAGCCAGCGTGTCCCCACCCGCATCCCTGAGTGGGTGAGCTCCTATCTTGGACACGGAGACATCGTCTCCTCCCTCATATTTTTGTCCAAATGGCAATTTTGGCTTTAACCAGAAACATTCTCCTCCTCTCCCCATTGTCTAGAAACCACCCGAGCACCAACAGGAGCCCTGGTGGGACGATGCTCTGTGTGATCATGGGCAAACACCCAGAGAAGTGTCAATAAAACCCAACCCGCTCTGAAAGAAAGGCATAAAAAGTACTTTGAGAGTTCAAAAAAGTGACTGGGTCCATGGCCGCTGGGGTTAGGCCATTCTCCAGGATGTCTTCTGGAAATCTCTCCTCCCCCAAATCCTTGGCTCTGTCCAGCCAGCCTGGGCTGCAGGATGGGTCCTGCGCCTTGTGCTCCATCCGGATGCAGCTCTCCATGGAAGCAGCTCCACGTGGAGACCCAACGTGCCCACTCGTGTGCGGGGGAACCTGGTGACCACCACCAGCACCCAACGAGCCGGACACAGGAATCTGCGTCAAGGACCGCACGGGCTCGGAGGAGCTCAGAAGAGGACCTGCCCCCCGTTGGCGTCCCAGCAGCCCATCCAGGGCAGCTCTGTGGCCCACATGCCGGTGGCCACCACCTGCAGCTTGGCCTGGTCGAACTGCCAGTACTGGTGATCGCGGAAGAAGTAGAGGAAGCCGTCGCGGTGCCGCAGGGCGCCGGCGGTGCCGGCGGGCAGCCCGGCCCAGTCCCGCAGGCTCCGGGGGTAATAGGGCTCCACGTGCAGGCTCTCCTCGCTCACCACGAAGTACTTGGCCCCTTTGAAGAGCACGAGGTGCCGGAGCTGCTGGAAGTAGAGGGCCGTGTCGGGGTGGCGCGGGAGGCCGCCCGCGCTGCACTTCTGTGGAAAACCCGCCTCCAAGACGGAGCCTTTGTAGCGCCAGCAGCGGCCACCTGGGAAGAGCCGGAGAGAAGGGTGAGCGTCAGAGAACCATCGAGTCCTTAAGGTTGGAAGGGACCTTAGAGATCATCTAGTTCAACCCCCCCGCACACGCAGGGTCACCTAGAGCATGGGCATCGTGCCCAAGGAGGTCCCAGGGACCTGTAGGACTTCCCCACATAACTCCGGTGCTCAGCAGCCAGAGGACTCGAGCACAGGGCCAGCCTCACCGCTGGGGAGACACCTCTGTGCCATCCTGGCGCAGGTGACAAGCTCCATCCCCCCTGGCCACCCAGCTGCCACCAGCAAGGAGGGCATCCCCGGGGGGCTTCCCGACTGGCAGGAAACTGCCCCACAGCAAAAGCTGCCTGTGAGCAGCCACGAGCCGGCCCCACTGCTGCTCCGTGCGTGCCGGGCCGATGGAGAGGACAGGCTCTGCCCGAGGGACGTCCTGGCTCTCGGGGGACCAGCCCTGCTCCTCTCCTTGCGACACCTCCATGGTCCTGCTCAGCAGGCACCTCCATGGGTGCTCCACAGCATCCTTGCAGAGCATATAGCACAACCACAAGCCATGGGGACACACGGGCTCCGTGCGGCAGGAAGGGACATGACCACCAGTTCCTGCCCCTGTGCTGCAGCCCCAGCCCTGGCGGGCTGCCCTCAGGCCAGGACTAAGGGTCATCAGCCGCTGTGTGCTGGGCCCGAGCGCTGGGCTGTCCTGGCTGGGCTGACTCGTGGTGAGGTGGACACAAAGCCCCTTTCTGCTCGCCAGCGGTGCCCGCTCTGGATCCGCAGCGGGACGCAGCAGCCAGGACTGGTGGTAGAAGGGGGCTCCTGGCTCTGGACCAGCCACAGCAACAAAGCCCCATTCTGCCTGGCCAGCAAGGACGTCCAGGCAAAGCCAAGGCCGACCCGGAGCTGGGATGTCGCTCGGGCACGGAGCATCCCGGGCCAGCTGGCGAGCGGGATTCCCACTCCCTGCTCACCCCGGCAGTGGGCACGGCCACGGGCGCTCCACAGCACCCGGCAGCTCCCACAGGTCTCACGGAGCGGATGCATCTGATACTGCTCCTCAACAGAGGTGGGTGCTGCACTCACGGCCGCGGGGCGGGCTGCACCTCAGTACCTTTGAAGAAGTAGAACTTGCCGCTGAGCTGGGACCAGGCGGCGGCGTCGAGGGCGGCGGGGAGGCCAGGCCAGCGGCTGTGCAGGGGCTGCGGGTCGCTGGCGTTGCCGCTCGCCGGCACCAGCCAGTAGCGGCTGCCCTTGAAGATGTACAGGTTGTGGTCGGCATCTGTGCAAAGCAGAGGACAGGAGGTGAGAAACGCCAGCCCCACACCTGTGTGAGCAGTGCCGGGCTCCGGTGGAGGCCTCTGGTCTCAGCACCCCTTGTCTTCCTCCGCGTCAATGCCGCCCTGTCCCCAAGGTGATGGCAGCAGCATGGGAGCACGAGCGGAGCTGCAAGCCGGGGACTGCTGCCTTTCTGCCTATGGATCGTGTCAGCAATGAGGCGCGGAGCAGAAGCAGGTGGTGGGGACAGGAACACACATTGTGTGAGAGGGCCATGGTACCAAAACACCTACCAGCTGTTATGGCATCGAAGAAGGAGTGGCAGTAATAGGCACTGAGGCTCCTCTGCTGCCGTTCCCCATCGGAAAGGTCCATGCTCCAGTCCTGGAAGTGAGTGAACACCTTTCCGGGGAGCTGGATGGCTGAGCCCTTGGATGGCTTCCCTTGGACAGAGCAAGGAGCAGTGAGACACAGAGGAGGGCATGGAAACGGCTTCCCCAAAGCACCGGCTGAACACAGAGCTGGTGCCTCAGCAAAGGGTACCCAACACTCGATCCACTGTCCAGCTTCCATCCCCTCTGCAAGGCAGTGGGCAAAGACTTCTCGGTACCCTGCAAGCCCCAGGACTGGTGCTCCCCAGCTTGCAAACAGGCTTGGAACCCGATACCCATCAACATTCCCACCACGTCCTCTCTCCAACCCGTGGAGAGAGGCAACCTGTCTCATTTTCCCACTCCTAGCTTGCACAGTCATCCCCCTTGCCGAGCTCGATCCCTCCCTGCTTTCCACGTACGAGCTCCGGTGAGCGGAGCCGCAGGAGGCTCCGGGGAGGCCGCGCTCACCATACAGGTTCTGGATGGCCAAGACGTCGTCCCAGCTGAGGACAAAGTCCTTGCTGAGCTTCTTGTAGTAGGGAGACATGAGGGCGCTCTTGACGGGGGAGTGCTCCAGGCCCAGCGTGTGGCCGACCTCGTGGGCCACCACCACGAAGAGGTTGCGCCCCTTGCCGCTGCGCAGGGACCAGCGCTCGTCGCTGTCGAAATGGGCCTCGCCGCGGCGCGGGAAGAACGCGTGAGCCAGGGCTCCTCCTGGGGGCGAGAGCCGGTGAGGGGCCGCGCGCGGACCCTAACCCTGGCGACGGGCTCCGTGCAGCTCTGCCCTCCCGATCCCCCCATTCGGAGGGATGCTCGGCACCCCGGAGGCAGCTGCTCCCTGTGCATCACCTTCCCTGTATCCCCCCAAAGCTGCTTTTTCCCTAGGGCACCAGCCTGGCTTCAGGAATGGCCCCGACCCCACCAGCACGGTCACCGTTTGATGCTCCAGTGACCCCCCATGCAGCGAGGTCCCCACCAGCAGGCGGGCACAGGGGCTCCCAAGGCAGATACCCTCCGTGCGATGCCAAAACCGCAGCGCTACGTCCCCAACCCCGCAGCACCCCGGCCCTCCCGGCGCGAGCCCGTCGGGACAGACCGCCTTACGACGGCGAGCGCCCAGCACCTGGCCCGTCGAAGGCGTTGCTGAGCCCGTCGTTGTGGTCGCCGTGGAAGAAGGCGAGGCGGATGTCGGCGGCGCCGTCGCGCGCCTCCCAGAACACGAGCGCCGACACGTTGCTCCAGAGCTCGAAGGCAGCCCGCACGGCGGCGCGCAGCTCGCGCGGCGGCAGGTAGGGCGGCCGGTTCACCACGCGGTACGTGAGGTGCCGCTTGTGCCACTTGGCGCCTGCGCGGCGAAGGGCGGCTCAGCCCCGGTGCCCCGCGGCGCCTGCGTCTCCACGGACGGAGGTGCTGCGAGAAGCCCCGTCCCCAGCCTGCGCTGGCACAGGAACCGGCCCTTTGCCCCGCCGAGATCCTTACGGCATCCCAGCCCTGGCTTTTCTAGGGGATCCTCACTTTTTTTCTTTCCTTTTTCCCTTTCTTTCTTCTGCAGGTGTAGTTTTAGCAGAGCAGATATTGAGCTAAGACAAGGAAATCAGGCCAGCTCCCTGTGGACGGCTGATCATTTTCTCAGATTTTAAAGGCGCTCTGAGTGTTTCTGCCTGCAGATGTTCCTGCCCCGGAGCCCAGACACCCCCGCAGGGAGAAACCAGCCCTTTCTAGAGCACCATCCCACCCATGCTGAAGATCTTGCTGGCTGTGTTTTCCTGGAAAGCCGTGTCCTTTCGGGGGTGACCCATCCCCAGTGCCACAGGGAGCAGGGATGCCCAAGGGCACGAGGCCTCAAGAGGGCCATAAACCCTGGCCCTGCAGCCCCTCTCCCCTCCGGAGCCCCCAGCAGCTGCAGGAGCCGGCGCCACATCCGCCCGGGGGGCGCGGACCAGCGGGATGGGCGGGAGCCGGTGCCGAGGTCGGCGGGGGAGGCCGGGACCTCTGGCCGCTCCGCACCCGCCTCTGCCCTGCACCAGATGTGCCCGGCACAGCCCGGACCCCTCCGGCTCCCGCTCGGCCCCGGCCGCGCTGCTCCTGCCTTGCTGGGTGGTAAATCAGACACCGCACGGGCACGGCTGGCAGCCCCGGCCTCCCACTGAGGCAATTCAACAGCTTTGGAAACATAAAGATGGGTGAGAAATTCCTCATTCCTCGTGGGAGGGCACAGCGGGCGCTGCTCAGCCTCACTGGACTCACAGGACGCCAGCCCGTGCCAGCCCGTCTGGGTGCCGGACACGTCGCAACGGGAGGTGACGGCCGCACGGCCGCCGATCCCGGCAGCACTGCAGCAGCGGGGGATAACAAAGCGCTTTGCTGGTTCAGCTGCAGCCGCTTCCTGCTCGCGGCAGGATAAACAGCGCGCTTAGCACAGAGCCCACGGCTTTCCCGGCCGAGCCGGTGGCACGGGACGCTGCAGCCCTCGCCCTTCCCTCCCATGGGAGCAGGGAGCGGTGACCCCTGCCTTGCCAACGCGCTGTGGGGGATGCGGCAGGGCTGGAGAGGGGCCGGGCTTGGAGCCCAGCGCAAGGCGCTGGCTGCAGCGGGGCTGCTGTGTGCGCTGCCTGGGAAGGAAGCCGAGCAGGCCGGGGGCGCGCAGGCCGTCCCCAGCGTCCCTCCCCAGCCCTGCTGTCTGGCGTGACGATGCGCAGAGCCCTCGCTCCGTCTCGCCCTCGTTTTTCCCACGTCCCCGGCGCCGCCGGTCACGGCTCTCAAGGAAGCGCGTGGCCCCTGCGCGAGCTCCGCGGGCAGCTCCCGGGGGCCCGTCCTGCACAGCCAGGAGCAGGCGGCGGGGCTGGCAGCACTGAAACTCTCTGCACAGGGGGCAATGCGCCTTTGGGCCCAAGCCCAGACCCGACCTTGCTGCATCCTCGTGCAGAGCAGCGGGATGTGAAGCCACCACGGTGGCAGTGCTGACCTGCTGGCCACAGCACCTGCTCTCTGCTCCCAACGGGAAGCATGAACCAACAACACCAAAAAAAAGCTGCAGTTCCCAGAAAACATGTGGAGCGCCCCAAACCCGGCGCCCTGCCCTGTGTCCCGGCACTGCGAGGGATGCCCGGCCGCGGCGCTCACCGTGCGGGCTGTAGCGCTTCCACCGCCGCCCGCGGCGGGCCCAGGCGTCCTGGCTGTGCCCGTCGCCCGTGCCGCAGCGGGGCCGGCCCATCTGCTGCAGCGTGGGGGCGTCCAGCCGCCCGCTGGGCGCGAGGTGGCTCGCACGCTGGAACTCCCTGCAGGAGAAAGCGGGAGATGCTCGCGCCGTCCCGGCAGGAGCTGCCCCGTCCCGGTGGCGTTCCCGAGCTTCGCTCCACCACAAGCGCTGCCTCCCATCCTGCCATGTGGCTGCTGCATCCCAGCGTGCGGGAAAGGGGGAAATCTCCCTGTGGAGTATGTCAGGGCATTGGGGAGCTCCCGTGAGACCATCCCAGCAGGAGAGCGATTCCTGCACAGAGCAGCCTCCCGAGCCCGCCTGGCGCACCAGGCACATCCAGCCGATCCGTGCGCGGCTTCCCACTCTGGGTTGGGCTACCTCCCCATGCTGCCCCTCCCCTGGGGGATGCTCCAATCTCCGGACAAGGCACCCAGTTGCATCCTGACAGGAGTGACCTGCGATGGGACCCGCTGTGTGCAGTCCGGGCAGCCAGACCATCATCCCAGTCCCTCCGCAGCAATCCATCCTGGTGCTCCCTGCGCGCGGCCACACACCAGGCCATAAAAGGCAGATAGAGCAGTGGGGCCAAGGCAGCGGGTACCTCAGGGCTGCTCTGAACGCCTCCGGGCCGGGCTGGCCGTGCCGCAGCGCTCCCAGGTAGCCGTATTTCTGCAGGAACCGCTGCAAGAGAGAGGAGAGGACCTGGCTCAGAGCATGGCCGGCACGCGGGCCGCTCGCCCGTCCTGCTGCAGCCCCGAGCTTGCCCCAGCTGCAGCTCAAAGCAAACAAATAGCTGCCCTCCACCCCAGCTGCCCCCAGCCCTCGGAGACAGCAGCATTCCTGGGAATGCTGCACACTGCCTCCCTACCCCACTGGGAATGTTTTCAGGAGACCATGTTGCGGGGACAGAGGCAGCAGCGTTGAACCACCCTGTGCATGTGGCTGCTCTGCTGCAGGACACCCTGGCTGATGCCGCCCGGAAAACCCGGCGTTCCTAAAGCAGCTCCTTGGGAAGGGGCTGTGAGTGGGCAGGGAGAGGAAGGGGATCCGCTTTTGTGCTGTGCTGCCCCACGGATTTTGTGCTGCTCTGACTTGTTCCCGGTGCTGTCCTGCACCAGCCCCGCTCCCCCAGACACTCCCTTTCCTTATCAGCACTTGAGCTCTGATTCCTCCAGGAAATATGCCCAGACGCGGAAAAAACAACAGAGAGACTAGAGATCTCAGCACCACAAAGACCAGACTCCGCCAGCAGAAGCGCCGTCCCCCGCGGGGACTCGGAGCGCTGGGCAGAGCGAGCAGAGGGCGCCTGGCCCTGTCTCTGCTGCTGTGTTTTTGCAGCGTTCCCTCGAGAACTAGAAAATCACAAACGACATATATGGGTACGCCGCGATAATCCCCAAGCATTACCTCACTGCAGACAAATGCAAGCTCTGAAGCACCCAAACAGCAAGTCTGGGGTCTCAAAAGCTTAAAGAAGTTGAGACTTCTTTTTTTCCCAGCACTTTTCCTTGATACTCAGCCTCTAAGCGTAGCAGTTTTAAAACACTCCATCATCTGTGACCTAACACAACCTCATTCTTGAAATAAGACAATGAATGTGTTTTCCCCACCAGGATCTCACTGATGCCTGAAAATCTGTGTGGGTAAGAGAGGGTGCATGGCACAAAAACAATCCCTATGGCAGAGCTGCTCCACGGTGCACCCAGGGCCCTGGGACCATCCATTGGGTTCCTCTAGCTCTGCACGCCAGGCCAAGGCAGGCACGCAGGTCACCTTTGCTTTCTAAGGAGTTTTGTGTTCAGCTTTCTATGCACCAGCATAGCTGCAAGAGCAGCAGGGGATTTTTATTGCATTCCCTGGAACTGCATTCCCTGGAACTGCTGCCACCAACATCTGGCCCCCAGGTATGAGAGGTGCGCGGGCTCGAGCTGCACCCTGACCGCTCGCTCTGCTTGCTGCTGGTGCTGGAGATGGAGAGAAGGGCAACAGGGCCCTTCCTTGGCACCAGGAATTCCTCGGGCAGCAGGGAACACAAGCAGCCCTGGAGCATGGTGCAATCGGGAGCACGCTGCTCCTGGAGGAGCTGCCTCCTGGTGCCGGGGTCTCCGCCGGGAACACGGGGCCCTTCCCGTCCTGGGGCTCTGGCAGGGAGCTGCCGAGGGCTCCGCAGGGAGGCAGGGTGAGGAAACACCTTGCCCTGGAGCGCAGGCACACGGGTGGAAGGCAGCCAAGCGCTCACACAATGCGGCCGTCTCCTCCGGAGGAGACGGGACAACAACAGGCCCCAGACAGGAGCCCTGCGTCCTGCCCCGCAGCCGCTCGCCTTTCTGGCCCGGTTCCATGGTCCCAGCTTCAGCAGTGGATGGGCCCCTTCCCTCGGCCGAGCGAGCATGGCCCACGGCCCCTCCGCTCCCCTGTGCACCCTCTGTGTTTCCTGCTCTGCCCTGCCCGCACTCGCGGCCCTTCAGCACAGCCCCACGGCTCAGCTCGGCGCGTGCACACCGGGGCAGACACTGAGCCCTCCCAGGCCCCTCTCACCACCCCTTGGGCTCGTCCTCCTGCACTGGGTGGATTCAGAGAGCTCCAGCTCGCTCCTCTGCTTGGCCGGGAGCGATGCTGCAGAGCAGGGTGATAAACATCGCGGCCCTTGAACAAGAGCAGGGGACCCCGGGGCCGGCACCCACCGCGCTTGGTGCACGACCTGCCCCCAGGGCAGGCAGCTGCTCGGGTTGCTTTAGCATGGAATAAAGGTCTAGATCTCATCAGCGGGGGCTGCATTTCATTCCTGCCTTTCCCTAGCCCAGGCTTCCTCGCCCTCCTCCTCCTCCTCTTCTCAGGTTTCATCCCCCTAGCGCCTTCAGGCAGCTCTGACACCAGGCGCAGCTGCAGGAACAGCGGGTCCCGGGGCTGCCCCCGCAGATCCGGCCCCGCAGATCCAGCCCCACGGCTGCTCCGTCCACCTCCCCCCGGGAGCACCCAAGTGACTCAGCAGGACCCCAGGCAGCACATCCAGCACCCCGCGTTAATACCAGCTCCATCAAACAGCCCATGCGGACACCACAGCATCTCTTAGCAGGCACGACTAGAGCTCAGGGTCGATATTAAACACGAGCTCTTGGTTATCCAAGGTGGAAAGAGGGCCTCAGAGATCAGATGCCACCAGAACCTCATGCAAGGAGGAAGGGCAGGAGAACAACAAGAACAACAAACAGGAACGAGAAAATCTCTGTCATTTAACCCCACTCTCCATCTCCACACTCTGCTTCCTTCAAACTTCTCACTAATTTTTCCTCCTGCCACAAGAGACCTGTGGCAAATCACTTATCTGGTCCTTTATCCTCAGCACCAGAAGCCCTTGACACTACAGACACGGGCCACCAGCTCCGGGTCACAAACCTGAGCAAGTTCAGGTGCTGCCACGTAGCTGACTTTGCTCTGAGCTACAAGCCACGGAGCATCTACCTCCTATCTGCAGTCTGCAGATAACAACACAAACGTTTCAAATTAAAGTTCCCAACTTTCCTCTTTTCTTTTCTGCTTGTTTTTGTAGCTGTGATCATTACAAATGCAGTGAAAGCAAAGGCAGAGGCCAGGAAAATAACACAGCTAGGCATTTTCTCAGACTCTCACATCTAAGTTTACACAACCCATTGTTGCTAAGTTTGGCTATATTAAAAGCAACGAAAAAAAAAATAAAAGCTTTAAAAGCAAAGACTGGCAGCGGTTTTCCCAAAGCCACAAGTAACGAGAACCATTTGAAGTTTTACAAGAATTTCAGCTTCCACTTTAAAGAAAAATCAGTTGTTCGGTTTAGTTGTTTAGTTGGACAAACTTTCCCATCCTAGTCTCCAACATTTATGTTCCCAGAGTCCCTGGAAAGGGCAAGACTGGGGGGAACTGAGACAGCGACATGAAAGCCATTTGCTCAGCGCCCTTCCTGGGATCTGCGAAGATCTGCTGGGATCCCGGGACCTGCTTCAAAGCTTCAAGGGGAAAAGTCCTTGGAAGTGACAAGTGAGGAACCCCAGAGCAGCACCATTTAAAGCTCTCTGCCCTCATAGCAGTGTCTTCCTTAAAACTACTTTAAACTATTGATTTTCTGCACATTAAATACTTGGTGGGTCATTTTTACATCTCCCCAGGTGATATGAGAGGCCTGGCGGGGTCTGTGTCCACAGGGACAAGCACATCCATAAAATACCTCTTTGGAGGAGCCAAGCAGCACCTCCCAGCACAAGCAGCTTACGCATTAAAACAAGTCTGTAAGCATTTATGTACACTTCTCATCTTAAAGCATGTGAGAAATCCCAACTAATCCACCGGGGCTTGCTAGGGTTTTAAAATCAAGCGTCTCTGCAAATGTACATTGGATCAACGCCTAACCAAGGGAAAGCTCAAATCCCTAAGGACAACCCCTGTCCACCGGCCAAGCCTCACACCTTGTGCTCCCAAAGCAAATGGGAACTGGTGACAACAGTACAGGGGCTGGCAGGAGAGACACCACGGCAATGGCCCCAGGGAAAGGTGGGGGAGAGGAAGGACAGGCTTTTGTCCCATCTAAACAACCGGGAGATGGGAAAACTTCCTAATGCATTCCTTTGGTTGTTGCATTTCTAATGCACCCCTTCCTTTTAGGAGGGTTTGTGAGCAGATGTGCAGCGACAGGCACCTCCACTGCAGCGTGCATGGGCTCACACCTACCGCCCTGCATGCACCCCTGCGGCGCTGCAGACACCAACCTATAGCTATAGGCACCCTGAGGCCATGCCCGCAGCCACAGCTCCCGCACAACGGATCAATGGATATTGAGCTCTGCAGTTAGGTTTGGAAATCGATAGGCACGATATCTTGCTGCTATGGAGAGTCATGGATGCCTCCCGGGAGTCAAACTTCTGGCAGCCAAAGTGGGAGATGCCACCAGGCACTGCCAGCACAGGCGCGGTATCGTGACAGTGGGCACCCCTGTGCACACACGAACACCGGTGCACACATCAACACACACACACACCAATACCCGTGCACACACACAAACACCATTGCACACATTAACACCCCTGTGCACACACACACCCCCGTGCACACACACACCCGTGCACACACACACACACCCGTGCACACACACCCGTGCACACACACACACACCCGTGCACACACACCCCGTGCACACACACCCGTGCACACGCACACCCCGTGCACACACACACACACGCACACACACCCGTGCACACGCACACCCCGTGCACACACACACACACGCACACCCGTGCACACGCACCCGTGCACACACACACACACATGCACCCCCGTGCACACAAGCCCCGCGCCCGTTCCTACCTCCGCCTCCCGCCGCTCGCGGGCGGCCGGTCCG